GGTTAAGATCCCTTCATTGTTCTGGAGGTTTTTCCCTGGCCCTTAATGCCGGTAACTGAAGTTTAGTTCTGAGTCAAAGATGACATTGAGGTTTCCCGCCCACTGGCTCAGGTCACTTCCTGGGGAAATGAATTGAATGGGTTGTTTCTCTTTGAGCCTTAGGACCTATTGTTACAATGGTTTGATCAATCTGGTTGTAAAATGTTTTAATCAATCTAAAATAGAAGTTATCTTAGAGTTTTTACAGCACATTGTTCAGTATATATTTTATATCCATCTCTTCATGAACAATGTTCAAAATCAGTTTCAGGATAAATAGCCACATTCTGATTAATCTGCACAGCGCTGGAGAAGAGACAGTGAGCAGAACAGTTATCCTGAAATCAGTTCCTGCTCTCTCTACAGTATTCAGTTTTTTGTGCTGTCTTGCTGTTTCCAATGCAGAGCTGTACATAAAGAACCTGTGTGACAGCTACATCCTCTTGCCAGCCTCCATCTCTTACACTGAATAGCCCCTCACTACTGTCCAGTGTCCTGATGACAGTCTCTGCTTCCTCCTCCTCTCGTGGCTCCATTTCATATCTGTATGTGATAGTGGTTGCATTGTCTGGAAGCACAAACCAAACATACAGCCTCACTTACTGCCCCATTATCTTAAAGACAGCTCTTCACTTCCTGTCATCCCTTTGGGGGACGCAAGATGTTTTCCAGAAATTAAAAATATTATGCTTTTGATATTCTTTGTCCCCATGTGACCCCTGTGGTGATAATGACGGATTAGCGACACCATCAGTTGCAGCAGGTTAAGTGACAGCACCACAGGAAACATTGTGACGAGTCCTTGTGGGAGATTTCTTTTGCAAACTAGCAAAAATCAATATCCTTTATATGCTTTAATCACCTCTGGGGATAATGGAGGTCCCATATGGAGTTTATTTTCTATCTTTATTCAGGAGCGCACTCTTTTATTTTGAGAGAGCTATTGCTTCATTTCACGCTCATATTTTTAAAGCATTCCATCAAAGCCCTGCCGTCTCTCTCTCAAAGAGTCCCTCCTCACTTGCAAATTTGCTCTGCTCCTGCTCAAAACAGACATACAGTTGCTGCACAGGCAGCAGTGACAGTATTACTGTTTGGCTCAATATGCAGTGCCACGTCTAAAGTGTGTACGTGTTTTTTGACCCGGGAAGCAGCAGGGAATTCACCAGGGCAGAGCCAAATGTGGAAACAACAAGAAAGCTCCAGTGTCAGAGAGGAGACATGAGGGAGGGACATGTGAGATGGGAGCAGAGATGATTACAGGACAGGAAAGAGGAACAGGGAGATCTGAGACAGCTGAAAAATACCAAGGGTCAGTTACGTAAAGCTTACATCATGGTCTTACACATAGGAAAAGTGTGGATGTGTGTGGTCCATGTCATTGTGGGGACCCAAATCTATTTACACATTTATATTATGTTTAGGTATTATGGCTAGGTTAACATTATGGTCAGGATTGGTTTAGGTTAAGGTTAAAATTAGATTTAGGTTAAGGCTAGGTTAAAAATATGTTAAATTAGGTTTAGAGAAGGGTTAGTATTATGAATCTGTGATAGATTTGGACATTAACCAGGAACATTTGTTTTTTACTTCAGCAGTTTTTAAAATTCTAGACATTTATCAATTTCTGCTTAGAATCTTTCATGCCCAGAGGTGTACAGTGTAAAAACCTGACACACATCATGAAGTTATTAACACTCACCGAGCACAAGGGGAGGAAGGGGACAAAGTGCAGATACAAACAAGGAGGCTGTTGGTAATTCATGAAAGATAAAAAGTCTAGACAGCTAAGGTGCAGGACAGAATGAGGAGGAACACCAGGCGTGAAGGGAGGTGTGAAGAAATGTGATGGAAACTGGACGTGATAAGTCACTGCGCCACAGTGTGTCAGGGTAACGATCACAACACAGGTAAACTAAAGAGGTTCCTGTCTTCCTCTCTACTCAAACAGCAGCAGAGACTGGATGTACATAGAAAAGTGCTGGAACATCTGGGCAAATGGAGATAACAAACTGAATGATATATCCTTCATCCTCATGGTGTCTTTTTAGCTGAGTTTATATTTTGAAATGCATATATAGGTAAAATTTTGCACTATAGATGACTTTTGCTTTATACAGATGTTTCTTGGATACTGTTTTTGTTTAAACCTTGAGGTAACATTTGGCTCTTGAGTTCATAAGCAGATGTTGATCATTTCACTAAAAGAACTCTAATGAACTCTAATCCAAGTAAATACTGTATTCATTAATTATTCATTCTCCAAATCCATGTGAATACTGTTTTCATTAATTATTCATTTTCTAAATCTAAGTAAATACTGTGTTCATTAATAATTCATTTTCTCTTTACAAAAAAAAAACTATGTTGAATTGATTGCTGGCCTTTAGACATGTTGAGCTGTGCGCTGTCTTACAGTATGTTTACCCGTTGAACCCTTTCTCCGTCTCCGCTGATGTTACCTACAGCAACCTTTTCCACTTCAGCTCTTGGAAAATACAGATGAAAATGGGACCTGAAAAATAAAATGTAACTGCCAGATCTTAAAAGTTGTTTTTTCCAGATCTTTATAGGAATATTCCGACATTTTGTGAATAACGCTTATTCACTTTTGTGGCAAGGGTTACACTTGAGGATTGATTGCATATAAGGCTACAGCCAGCTGCCAGTAAGCTTATTATTAAAACTGATAGCAACTGGTTAGGTCAGCTGAATTTTGCCTGTAGACTAGAGGCAGCTGGTTTGATCGGTTCAGTTTACCATGGAGACTAATAGAATCTGTTTGGGTTAGTTTAGCATAAAAGTTAATTAATCTTCTGATATATATATATGTATATATAGTCAATAAGTGATGCACATTTGCTGTTCAAGCACTGCCCACTCTGCTATCAGTGTAATAACAGTGTCAATAGGCCTGGGCCTCTCCCTTCTACAAAGACACAACCAGAAGTGAAATATATTTCCTTTACTTTTGATTTTGAACGTTAGCTGAACCCACAGTGAGTTTGCCATGTGGGCATCCAGAATCAAATATCACAAAGGTCTTCTTGTTCAGATGTACCAGACCTCTTTTTTTAAATAGCAGGTTTCTACAGATCTGATTGTTGCTTGTGGCCCGACACGAGGCTCAGTCACTGAAATGGAAGCTGCAGACTCCCATTTGTTCCAGTGCTGGGTAATGTTTTTTCTTTTATTGTGTTCTTGCCATGCCTCCCTCGCTGTTTAGTGAATTTCATTCTCAGTGTGTGTGCTATCCAGAGCAGCAGGCCTCCATCATGACAGAAGCAGCTCGACAAGACTCTGGACAAGAATAGCGCTCAGATTTCACAGCACAGTGCGGCTAAATGAAGAATAAGGAAGGTTCGAGACAAACACATCCTGGCAGCTTTGAGTTCATCAGCTCTCTGAGAATTTAGACCACTGTTTTGTGTCCTTTCACTGCACTTAATCCAATACAATTTAGCTCCCGTATTGTGGTTTTTAAATGGCTGACATTGTGTAGCGCCATTCAACAGTCGGTGAATCTGTTGACCATTTCTATGATGAAGACTACTGAATAAATGGATGGACTGGGTCTTTTCCAATTTGTGTAGTATGTGAAAACCCAGATGATCCCTCCCTCGTCTCCCGCCTGGTCCCAAGACCTGAGCTGTGATTCCCCCCTGGCGGGATTTCACAGGGACTCTGAAAGCTCCATTACACTAAAGCTCTTTTCCCTGACAAGCCAAATGACATGATAACAGATGACATTCTGCTCTATAAACTGGTAAAGAGATTTCTCACTATCTGCTCATGCCCTTTCCCTTACACAAATGTCTCTGGGAATAAAGTGTCTTTGTATCTGTTATATGTCATATATCTCCATCTTTCTCATATAAAGTCGTGTCTTGATGACATTTAAAATGGTGTTGCACAAAAGGGAGGTAGTTCTTACCTTTCACTGATTCGGGGAAATTCAGTGGTTGAAAGCAAATTAACACCTGGAAACCTGCAGACTCATACTTTTGCACTGAGCCGCCCCACTGGACCACAGAAGAGACCACAGCTCATAGCTTAGCGTAAAAACTACAGACTGGCTCTGTAGAAGGTGAAATACAAAACTCTGTATTAACATATCAAATCTTGTGTAAAAATGTCATAGCTGTGAAGCAGCAGAGGATGTTAACAGAGAAGTGAGGTGTGAGCAGTTATTCTAGAAGCTCCTGCCTCTCATTCATTTTTTTCCATTGACAATGTTGGTGACTCACAGTCTGGATCAACATGAATCTCATCAAAATACAAATATTTGCTCCGTAGATAGAAAGTCAAAACTTCAAACTTGTGAAACCTTCATTGGAGACGTAAGAGATGCATTTAGGCAAGAAACATCTGATCGCAGAGTAAGAATTATGTCACATGAGCCGCTAATGCTGGGAGGCAACTGAGAAACAGAACAGCTTAAATCAGTTAACTGTTAATTCTGGATCAATTTGACCAAATTCTGCAGCTGTGGATCCACGTTTTATGAACTTAACAGTGACAATTTTTAAATCACAGATGCTTCCATTTACACCTCTGACTGGCTGCATGACAAGAGCAGCTAAGGCTTATGGGTATTGTGGGATTAATACCCTCATGTCTCAGTAGCAAAGTTTTCAAACTTCAAAATATTTCAAACTTGAGGCCACAGCATAAACCTACAGGATGTTGTAAATTATTTATTGTTCAATCCTCTGAAGACTGGAAATGTGAACTTGGACTTGTATCGGTCATAATATGGTGATCTGTGTTGAGATTGTGGCGATCTTCGATGTCAGCTGTAGTTTTCGTCATTTCATAACCCACCCAGCCCCCCACTGCTCAGTACCACACTGCCTCTATTCCTTTTACCTGTAACTTACTTCACCCTCCTATTGTCTGACCTGGAAAGCCTTTGCTACAGTGTCTAACCGTTTCTTCTCTCTCTTCCTATTTTTTTGTAGGCATGGCTCCAGAGGTATGGCTACCTCCCTGCTGCAGACCCCAGAATGTCAGTGCTGCGTTCCGCTCGAGTCATGCAGTCCGCTATCGCTGCCATGCAGCGCCGCTATGGCCTCAACATCACAGGGTCTCTGGACAGCCACACTATAGAGTGAGTCACGCTGCTTTAAAAATACCTTTGAAGATGTCACTGTGTAACTTACCAGTCATTGAGTCAATCCACATAAATAGACACATAATTCAGCAGTTTAATGTAAACGTACACAGATGCCACAGAGTTTGAGTCATCAGTCTAAGTGCTTTTGTCTTGTCTCAGCTTGCATGTCAGTATAGACTTTCAGTATAGACTATTTCATTGGTTTGATGATGGGTCTAACCATCAAAACATCAGCCCGAAGAGGCAAAGAAGGGTGGTGGTGAACTGCAGTGAACTTAGAAATGGTGTTGAGAAAAATAGCTTATGCAGACTGGTTTATTTATTGGGTTTGTGTTATTTAGAGGTAAAAACTCGTCAGCCCCTGTTTTGCCTTCTTAAGGCAGCCAGACACTTAGTTACACTGACCTGAGGTTTAAGTGGTGTAACTTCACACAGAATAAAGAATTAGAATAA